ACGCCTCCCGCTTCGGTCCAGTCCTACAGCAACATTTACTCAATCCAAGGGTTACTCTCTTTTTGAATGTACCGCCATGTATCAGGCAGATATTTACCAACGTTTCGGAGAAACATGCTAGCCCCATCTTCTACCTTGAGGACGGAGGCAGAAGTTTCCTACGAAAAAGTTGGCAAATACTGTAGCGTGTAGACCCGTTATTGGGTAACGACCGCGAAACAAACAACGAAACAACATCCGCTGCTAGGCAACAGAGTCTCGCTAAGCAAATATACGCAGCCGTTACTGAGTAACGCCTTCGCAAACAAAAAGGTTCCCACGGCAAAAATCCGCGTGTAACAATATAGCAACGGTGTTTGCTACGCGGTCTGTGGACAAATGTTATGAGGACGATTAGTGCAAGAGTTGTCAGCCTGTGAAGCGAAGACATAGCCATCAGACTGGGAGTTAGTTGGTTGAAGCATTGAGAGTCGTGGGATATTCGCCGGACAGTAACGACGTGAGCACAGAAACTGTAGAATCTCCACTGTTAAAATCCGTTACCGGGAAACGACTGCTGAAGCCACTGCAGGCTGGAAGAGGCATAACGTGTGCTGTGTTGATTTGTAAAGTGTGGAGATTACCGATGACGCTATAATTAAGTGTAGTGCGTTAAAGAGGTCAACAAATCCAATCTCCAATCCAAACAGTCTATAGCTACAATACCTGACGTGACAACATATACTAGAGTAAAAGGCGTCACAGCCCAGAAGACAGAAATCTGCAATCGTTTTCCCCTTTGGTTTCCACTGAGTTAACCCGTCACTACTTGGTTCCGCCTTCTACTAGGGGGGGGGGTAGCAGTTTCCTCCGCAACTTTGGTAAATATGTATAAATCTACACGGCAGCACACTCAAAAAGGCCGCAATTTGTAATGACTGCACTGGATCCTTAGCTACTTTTTGTATCCACTGGTGCTAACCCATCGCTTATTTTCTTCTATTTGGCATAACACAGAAACTTAGGCAGAAGCTGGTAACAAAACGTCGTGACATGATCATAAATGCAATTATCACAGCCAATTCGAAGTGTCGTAAGATGAAGAGACCGACAACACCCTGGCGTTCTGAACTAGAGCAACGGGCAGTCTGCGCAAGACACGGCGCTAGCCATGCCCCCCCCCCCAACACTTCATCACGCAAATTTAAACTTCCGCTTGTTACGTTTCTGGGTAACTCGGTGATCCTGCCACGACTGTACCGCAGGGCACAGTTTTCACACGTCTTCTTCGTGCCTTGAAATACTGAACTCCCGTTCAAGTAAACTCTGTCTGAAACATCTTTCGAGGGAACGTCACGCCTTCTTACTGGAGAGAAGTCCTGCGTGTTCAATGGGATCTCTGGTATGGTGAATCTGGTTCGCGTCGCGTGTTGAAACAGTAACTTTGTAGTGATAACCTGACGAACCAGCTTCAACAACGGTTTAGACACAATACGTGTATATTTCATAAAATTCTAAAATTTCTTACAATATCATTACGTTGATTTCTAACATGAATACGGTTACTGTCATAACCAAGATTCCTACTGTTACCGTTCTGCTCCATGTGGTAACAAACGTTACCTCCGGTACACTCTGCCTCTGCCGCTCCCAGTGTGCAATCTCGGATGGCATGACGTTCATGTCAAAATCCGTCTAGCGGACGGACATGACCATCCTTACATGGGCGGCACCGCCCACCGCCCCCCAAAAGAAACCAGCAGTGAGAACATGACAGGCCTTTCCGAAGTCTTTATTATCGTTATCAATTGACAGAGGTAAGTCTGCACAGCAACGGGACAGGAAGAATGGAGCGGAGGGAGACACGTGTCATCATCAGCTCTTAGCAGGTCCTTTCCTCCACTCCTGTGCAACATGACGCAGGCCAACAACCGGTTCCGCAGCTTCATGCCTTGCACTCTTACGGCAGAAGGACTACTACAAACGGCCACGGCATACTTTGACGTACATTTCATCCGGCTGCGCTTAAAATGTCATCTAGCAAGGCGAAACATTATTCCAAGAGCTAATGAGACCGCATGCCGAGGTTAATAAAGTGTGGAACAATACCTTCAATCCCCCATACGCTGTCATACTACAGCATTCAACTCTTTTCTTTTTATTTATAGTAGGGTGGGACTATGTCCCTTGTACTGCGGCCACTTCTGGCCTATTGTACCAGCCCCAGATGACAGGTGAGGGTGATTGTGGAGCAACTGGTGGAATGAAGATTGGCTGGGGAAACTGAAGTACTCGGAGAAAACCTGTCCCAGCGCCACTTTGTCCACCACAAATCCCACTTGACCAGACCCGGATCAAACCCGGGCCGCCGCGGTGGGAAGCCAGCGACTAACCGCCTGAGCTATGGCGCGGCCCAGCATTCAACTCAATGCAATAATTAAAGCGAACGCTATCTGTAAAATAAAATATGAATCATACGTGTATACTAAAAGAAGAGGCTCCGTTGAATTTTCAACGGACATTACACGAGTAATTATGCATTAACGACAGTTGGTACATTTCGTTGAGAGGCTGACATCCGCACACAGAGAAGCACAGACATCTGGAGGCTACAGCCACTAATTCAGTCGCTAATTTGCTAATGAGAACAAATGCAACTCCTGACCCATTGATCAGGCCTGCTCTCGGCACTTGTTGAAATCAGTGATAATTGATGAGACTTCGCCGCCATTCCGCCTTCTCTTGCTGGCCGGCCCCACACAATTCAGGCAGTTCGATAAAGATAGATCCCCGCCTCCAGCTGGAGCCCTGACTTTCCGCTACAGATTCAACGTCTGGACATACACGCAGTACGAGCATCTCTGTTCGAAGCCCGGTTTAGGAGAGGAGTAACTTATCACCACATTTTCAAGCGCCCTGTGGCTAATGCAACATTCCTCTTACTTTTTATGGGAAGAGTGGATGGAAATAAACATTTACATTCTTTGGAATGAGGGAGGCCTTAGTATGGGGTTAGAACAAGGCCTCTCATACAGAGGCCGTAAACGACCCACTGTTACCATCCCCGGGCGCCGACAGAAGCGGAACACTTGTTGGAGTTAGAGTTATCACTGGAGAAAATTGTCCCCGCGCCACTGATCTGCAATCGAGCCCCGTCTGTCCTAGGTAGCGATAAGACGGCGAGTACCTGCCTGAGCTGGGGCACGCTCACGGTTTCAGACATCCTGTGGGTGATTACAGACATGCAAGAACCTTCCCATATGCACTCCGAGTTATCGTCTAGGAGAAGGGAAACGTTTCAGGAATAACTGGCAGATCTGAAACGTTCCTCTGCACGTACTGCAACTGCATCTAAAGATCTATAAAGATGGACAGAGCGGAGATAAAGCTCAGCGTATTATTGAACTGAACAGCGGATGGAGATCCGCCCTGAGCTTCATGCCCTGGCTACTTTACCCCCAGCATCCACTGGATGAAAGTGGGTGGGCCTCAGAGCCAGCCAGGGCACGTGGTTTACTTACTGGTAACACCCCCGGCTGTCCAGGGAACAGCCGGACAACTCTACTGACTGATCCATTGCAACAAACACTAATTAAATGGATAACAGACAGGTAAAACACGTGCGAAGGGGTATTAAATATTTTCAAAATGAGTCATTTGCAACTGTGCACATCTCACTGGTTCTAGCACTCGTTTGCTGGGAAGCAAACAGCATGACAGCGCATTCCGCAAGCATAAACTTGTGCTCCTCGTGTTATTCAAATAAAAGCTGCACACCTTTATGAGTACTGCTTACACCACATATCAATATTCTATATAAGACGCTTCTCCTTAACTGATAAGAATCTTATTCAAGCTTGCAGCAAACCTGGGGTTACGTTGGGCCAACATGAACTACAATTAAATTCACCAAACTTTCAGTTTATACTCCAAAACAGAATTTGTCCTGAACATATTTGTAGCGTTTTAGACGAAACGCACCGGCAGTCAGAAGAACATTCAAATTATGAATTAATTTTAGGCTCTCCTTGTAAACATCCACAAATGGTATACCTATGGAAAAAATGGGCAATTGAAAGAATTTGTATTAACAGGTCGCGTGCCCCAGCAGACAGGATTCCTGCGAACACAACACATACAGGGACAAAAACACAAGCATGCAGGCAGTGGCCGCCAACTGGTCAACGGACTCGCTACATAAGAGTACGATCCCGCTTGAATGTGGGGAAGTGGTCGTGTATGTTTTCAAGGCACTACTTGGTGTTCAAGCGAGGGGGCGGGGGGTTACTAGAACCAGGGAGCATCAGCCGAATATAAGTCACGGCTGTTACCGTTTGAGCAGACTTGCTTCACCAGTATCAATGTTTCTTGCAGCAGACGCGGCTGTCGGGAAATCAGTGACGCAATGAAGTACACTTTAACCCCCTGAAATCTAGAAGTGATCTAAACAATATTCCTACCTCACAGAGAACACACTGTTTATCCACACAGACACCAATCGGTTAATGCTGTTTAGGGAAACGATCACTGTTTATTGTGACAACAGTACGAACACTAAGTACAAGGTGGGGGGGGGTTATGCAGATTCTATTAATCTTAAAGTTGGCGGTATGTACAGCAACCACTGCACTTTACAAAGGCACTATGCTACAAGCCGGAAGGTCCTGAGTTCCATTCCCGATGAGGTCACTGGATTTTTTAATTGACCTAATCTTTCCAGCAGCACTATGGCCCTGTTGTCGACTCAGCCTCTAACAGAACTGAGTACCAAGAATATTCCTGGGGGTAAAGGCCGGCCGGTGCGTAAGACTGACAACCTCACCGCCTTCTGTGGGGCGACTGTCTAGAGAAAATGTGGGAGCCTCGACGTTTCATAACACTATGGGCCTCCACGGCCTGTTACAGGGAGAGCTTTAACTTTAAAAGGTCAGTTATTCATTGCCATGACGCGACTGATGTCTGGCGGGTTCACACTATGACGAGTATTTGTGAACAACCACCACCACACACGTGACACTGACCTTGGCCATTGTTGAGCGTGACAGGAGGGGGGCTGGGCGTGGTCTGGCCCTGCGTCAGGATGATCTGCGATTCGAGCTCCTGAAGCTCTGCTTGCAGTTCTGCCAATTTCGTATTGGCTTTCTTCACGATGGTGGCCACATCAGAGAGGCTTCTTCTGTCCTTGGCCACCTCCCGCAGTTTCTCGGCGCCTTCCTTGATCTTCAGCTCCTTGCGGATCTCCCGGCGGATATGCTCCTTCAACTCATCCAGCTTACACGGCAGGGCGGCAGCCTCTGGGTCCGAGTCGGCCTGCAAGCCATATTTGTGGCTCAGCTCGTATAGCACCGGGTGCTGGATGTAGTCCCCCTGCAACACACACACACACATACGTGCAATTAAACAAAAAGTTCCTTTATTTTGGGTTCCACGTTCTCAGAGCAGTAACTATGCAGCTGTGACGGAGTGCGACAGAAGTTGACCAACGTTTCAGAGCAACATACCGCCTCCATCTTCAGGGTCGAACACTGCTGGGTGGTTGCCTGCTCGGCTAATTCTTCGACCCTGAAGACGTAATCGCCATATTCTTCAGACATGTCGGTGAGTATCACAGTCTGATCGTGAGTTCTGGCGCATTCGCAGGCTTAATGTTTCGAGAAAATCATTTCTTTCGTATTGACATCCCCTGTCCCTCTTCCGTACCTTTGTTTCATTCCCTCATTTCTCTACCATTTATTTGTCATCCAAACGTTAATGCTCTCCCCGTTCCTTTCTCCCTCTCCTCTTCGTTAAATCAGTTTCGTGCTAGGTTCTACGTAATTTTTGCTTTTTCCCCGACGATCTTGTCCTCTGTGAGCGCAACCAAATATACATCAACTGGCTGCCATTGGACTTTACGTAATTTTGACGAATTTATTAAAAACTTTTCTTTCGATATTTCAACTGGCTTTATATTGATATCCATATATAAAAGTACAAAGAGCGTTAACAGCAAAATCTGCGAACGCAAGTACCTTTGGCTTCCCAACTCACTACGATGGTGTTGTGAAGTTATGATTTTTCAGAGAAACATTTCCTTGTGGCCCGGGTCTCTGCAGCAAAAACTTACAATAAAAACAGTGCGGCGAGAGAGGCCCCGCGTACGGTACGACTGAACGGCTAGATGGACGCACGGACAGAGCTAAACAAACTCTGCCTTCCGCTGGACAGCTAAAAGAAAGATGCACGAAATGTTTCACAGACAATTTTAAATGTACATACAAAATCACAATTTTTCACATTACAAAAGTGATAAAAGGCGCTACGTACTGTAAAGAACGTTTAATATCACAAAACGCAGAATTCCTTTAAAATGTCAAGTGGGGTGCATGGACATGAACACATGCTACAGGTCTAGTAGACAGTCTACGCAGAAGCCACGACGCCGACACATCACTTCCGCACATGCCGCTTTCTTGCAAATCCAAGGTTCTGACTTGTATGGACAAAAATGCTAATTTTTATTCATTCATGGTTCCTGTTATGACGCTCCCAACAACTCAGCCTCCAGTGCACAGCGCTGAGCGGTAGGGTGATAGTGAAAATGAATAGAAAGGTGGTGGAAACGAGCGGTCGCGAGCTAATCCGAGGTACTATCCCAGCAGTCACTTCGAGGGATTGTAGAGGCCACGAAAAAGTCAAGGAAACCGAAGTCCCGGGAGAGATTCGAAACGGCCACCTTCCAAATATGAAGCAGTACCACTCGAGCAAACTTTCTCGGCAGTACGGTCACCATAACATGAAATATATGTGGGAATGGAGGTATACCTCCACCTCGGCGCTTGATGGCTCCGAGCGGTCACCTTCATAGCCCGACTCCTTTTACTAGGGTAAGGAAGACATGGTAAGCATCTGACAGGACACCGGGTCGGCATTGAAGCGGTGGCGAAAAGAAAGATCTCTGCCGACAACAGGAGCATACACTAACTCCGTGGATTTAGTCCGCAAGCGAACTATACCGAACGACCGCCTCTTGTCGGCGAAGTTAGTACCAACTTTAGCGGATAGAGGGGAAGCCTATACTACGAGGGGTTAATATCGCTCCCACCCCAGAAGCAAGCACGATCGTCATTTTCGTGTTACGGGTAGCGGGAAATAAAAAGAATTGACTGTCAGCATGCAAGACAGCGCGGTGCGGTAACGCTCTAGCCTTGCATGGGGGTGGGGGGCGTTCGGTTCGAATCTCTGCTGGACACCAACGATCCTGTGGTTTTATTGGTTCTCCTTAGTCCTTTCAGCCAGTATCTCAAATGGTGCCAGGACGAATTCCTTTAACATGGTGCTGCCATAAGCCAAAACCATAAACAAATACTGCATCTCCTAATATCTGGCTGGATTGTGCCTAAGTTGGCTATACTGTTACGTCTTGAAGTAACGCGTAGATTACTGAAAACGAACACTGTACCACGCGGCGACAGAATTGGGAAGAAAGCCGGAAACAAACAATGTAGGGCCAGACCATGACTTCCTGCCTCCCTACCTCTTCTTCACCTCTGATACACCTCATCTTACTACTCCGTCACTACTCTGGTATTCTCGTCGGCAGCTTGCTCGTGCTTTGCCAATAAATTGTCTGAAACAAAGGGCACCGAGACTTCTGCCTGCCACTCACACACACACACCAAATCAATCGGTCCAGAACACTGCCGACGCGCCTGAGAACAACGCAGAGGCTACGCGGCCATAACGATAACAGAGTGTGGAGATAAGATAAAGCCAGATTTCAGCCGTGACAATGCAGAGATACCATCTAGCTTCCTGTGACGTGCCTAAGTACACACGTTAGTATAAAAAAAGCAAAAAAGTAAAAGTATCCCTGTAACAGGCCGTGGAGGCTCATAGGGTTGTGAGACGTTAAGGTTCCCACATTTTCTAGACAATCGGCTCAAAGATGGCGGTAAGGTTGTCAGCTCTACGCGCCGGCCGCCCTTCATCCCCAAGAATATTCCTGGTACTCATTTGTTAGAGGCTGAGTCGACCCCAGGGCCATAGTGCGGCTAGAAGGATTAGGCCAATTGAAAGAATACAATGGCCTCATCGGAACTTGAACCCGCGACCTTCCGGCTTGTAGCATGGTGCCTCAACCAACCACGCTACCGCGTGCCCCTCACACGTTAGTATACCGGGTCAAATTCTGTTCTAATTACAGTAACTACATTGCATCTTGACGTAAATTTCAAATGGCACTGCATATATGCTGTACACATTGCATTTCGAAGCACATACAAGCAATAAGAACACATAAAGAACTGCATACACCAGCAACGAGAGCCTGAACAGAGGAAGGGAGTCTGACCCGTATTTGGGAGTTACGAGTTTCGAATCATAATGGAGGACATTCCGTCGTGACGTCGTGACGCAGTCTACCCTTCCAATTTCCTTTAAATTTTAAATGATTTATTCGAACATCATCTCGTTGAGTTGCCAGTAGCTCAGAATATATAGTGTCGAATGGTAGGGCGATAATGATTAATAGAAAGTATGGGGAACTGCAGCGGTTACAACGTCCAAGTGAGATAAATAGGGATAAGATAAAGTTGTTCCTGTGCTTACCTAATTAAGAACTACGCCATGAAGGCGGATGGGGGAGTGGATGTACAGATCCACATGTTTTTTACCTCGGCACTATTGGAGATGAGTGGTCAGCTTCACGCTCCGGTCGCTTTACCCCCGGGGAAAGAACTCCCGGTACCCATTGGATAGGAGACTGGGTGGACCCCAGAGCCAGTCTGGCCAATAGGGAGTAGAGAAAATTTCCTTGCCCCTACCGGGAATCGAATCCCAGCCGTTCAGCCTGTAACCAGTCGCTATATCGACTGAGATATCATGACTTATATTGCAAACGGCACATAGCCCGCGGGCAGACAGATTCGGTGTTCGGTGCGCCTTAGCCGAACAGGACTTTTAAGAAGCGAACCAGCGCGTCTGCTCTCAACAAACAGTGGCTGTCATTTACGGTTCTATCACATTCTCTCACCTGGAGGCTACATGCCAAAAACCGGTCTAATTCGAATCACCGACTTTCCAGGATACAAAAAGACTCGTTCTCACACGCTTCGAGGTGATCGGTACAAACAAAACAGAAAGTAGACTCGGAAACTGCCTCAAGGTCCTGACTCCCAGCTGCATGAGTAACGCAAAGGCGAGCGCCACTTGCAGTGTGCTCTATATGGCCTCACACCCAAGGCATCTCCCACACAGCTGAAGAGCACATTAACATAGCAGCTGGGTTCGGCAACACTGCCTGTCAGCGACACACCGCAGTGTCTGTCCATCCATGCTCAAGTGGACAAGAAATTCCCCGCCTTTTACGGAACCCGACTGTGCACAATCGCGTTCAAAACGGTCCGCTACACTGCGCCAGCAGCTTCTGGATAATGTTTCCTCAACATCTGCAGTGGTCCAGCCCAGCGCCCGGAGGAAGCAAGGGAAAGGAAATAAATATGGGAGAAAGCAAGAAGGGAGGTAAAGGTACTAAAGAGACTAAAAAGTTAAGGGACTGAGACGTGAAACAAAAAGATTTTCCCCGAGAGAGTAAATTTGGCCTTGCCCTACAATGTCACGGCCAGATGGCAGGATACCCCGGGACTCTTCAGAAGCAGTCCCAGCTTTACCTTGGCGTTTATGATTTAACTGTTAACTAATTTGTGTAAGCAATAAGAAATGATCTCCCGCTAAATTTTCAACGGAAATTATAACGCACTAGCTGAATACAAATATTTGATTATCATCATGTGGCTACCAACTCCAAACATTACATACATATCTGGAACATTACACACCGGTCGGGCACTTCTGGAACCCTGTGACTGTTCAAAAGCTTTCGACTCGTACTAATGAAGTTACACAAAGCTCCCGCCCCTTCACCCGAAACGTCTATGATGCATTCAGCTTCGGTGAACCGCTTCACCCTCGTTTTCATCCGTCCTCACTTCCGTCCACGGTCCATTCAGAATATAAAACTACTACTTCGTGCACAATAGCATAACAACAATGACATATCATTATACCAAGTATACTTCCGTCAGGGGTATCAAGACTTCTCTCAACTGAGTCTTCACTGCAAAACTATGGTACAGACATGGCCGGTTTCCTTGTCAACATTACAACATGCCTGTGTACTAGCTACGGACTTTAACGAACCCAATCACGCAATTAAAGAGAAATCGGGCGTCCAAAAACTCTACCGCAATACTTGCAAAAACCTTTACAAAGCCGTACTGGCAAGAGTGTGGTAAGGTAAAGCTATCCCTGTAACAGGCCGTGGGTTGTGAGACTCGGGGCGCCCAATTTTCTAGACAATCGGCTCCAAGGTGGCGGTGAGGTTGTCA